GTGAGTGCTGCCCTTTGGCTCCGCGATGGAGGCTGTCCTCTTGGCGGGAATGCGAAAATATAAGCTATTTCGGTGTTATCCTACTAAACCCATGTCAAGTTAAAATCTGTATTGCTTTTTAACACAAAAGTGGTTTGATATCATTAATTAGCCTAACTGATTTTCATTGCGTGCTTGATCGGGTCCGTGTGCCTCTTCATGGATGATCATTTTGGTTAGTTTCCAGGGCCCTAAATCACTCGAGCGCTGATCGTTGCTCTCGTTCGGAAATTCGTACATCACAGTAATCAGGGGCAGAGAAAGGCTCCGAACAGGCGAGACACTTTGCTGAGCCCTCTCATCAGGGCCATTTCCATCAAAGAAAAAATATATATATCAGCCCACTGCCTGCCACTTAATATATAATTTGCATAGCCATTACTCTAGTGTGGAAATAGTAACAATTGTTAAGACAGTGACTTTAATGGCAATAATGTCAGTGGGAACTTCTTTTGATGAACCATGATTTATCTCTCTCCGTCTTGAATTATTACATTTTTTTCTATTCATCTGTCTGTCTGCGATTGATGCCTTCAAACACAGAACTAACCTTCTCTTTGTATATTAATTCATCTATTTTTCCACCCTCTTCATCTATTTATCTATCTGTTTACTGCCCTATCTCCCCCTCCCCCAGCTCTCTCTCCCTCTTCCATCTACCCATCTATATATCTATCTATCTATCTCTTTGTCTCTGCCCCCCCTCTCTCTATCTCTCTATCTTTCTATCTATCTATCTCTATATCTATCTATCTATCTATCTATCTATCTATCTGTCTATCTATCTATCTATTATCTATCTATATATATATTTGTCTCTGCCCCCCCTCTCTTTCTCACGTACCTTCTAACCCTCCCTCCCTTCTTCCATCTTTCCCTTTCCTCCCCTTCTCTTTGCCTACACCTATTTATCTATCTATATCTTTCTTTCTGTGTGTGCATTTATATATGTGTGTGTGTGTGTGTGTGTGTGTGTGTGTGTGTGTGTGTGTGTGTGTGTGTGTGTGTTTGTGTGTGTGTGTGTGTGTGTGTGTGTGTGTGTATATAAATATAAATTTATATATATATATATATATATATATATATATATATATATATATATATATATATATATATATATATATATATATATATATATATATATATATATATATATATATATATAGCCAGCTAGCTAGCTAATCGTCTATCTATCTACCTACCTCTCTCTCTTTTCCTCTTCCTTCCTCCGCCCCCTTTCCACCCCACGGCAGAGGCGGGCCCGCATTGACATTTGCGTGGGCGAGAGGGCTAACCCCGTGGCTTCGAACAATAGTTTTGCGAGAGTTGGCGGTTCGAAAGAGGGAAACCTGCTAAAAAATTCATTAAGAGAGAAGGGGGAAGGAAAGAGCACGCCAAATGCCACGAAAAACAACAGAAGGAAGAGAAATACAGCCGGAAAGAGAAAAGAAGAGAGCGTGTATTCGACCGAATCTGCAATCTGAAAATGATTCTTCTCTGAGCGGGTAAAGGGATAATAGCAGGCTGAAAGAATTAAGCGAAAGGATAATGAGAAACTATCGAAGGAGCTGGAAGTCGGGAAACGGAGGAGGAAATTTACTCGTTTCATGCAACTTTACCCTGTGGGTCTTCAGCGATACCCGCATGATGAAAAGCTGTCTCTACATATCCGGGCGGGTTAACATCCTTTCGGGTAAAGAGAGAAAACAAAGACTCGTTTGCTTTGTGGGGCAAACAAAGAGGATTTTTGCGAGCGTCCTAAATTCCTGTCGAAGTATCGGATTTGTGTATGACGCTCTTTGCCTCACAGGAAAAGAGGGGGATTTTTTTCGTTTTCTCGAGAACAAAGACCGAGAAAGAGTGAAAGGGGTAGCCACTGTAATCAGGAAACATTATCATTTTTATGTTTAACTGTGTAATCATTATTACCATCAAGATTAGTTATGATGATGTGAAGACTATTGGGTAAAATACCAATGTGAAAAAATATAGCTATTGCTTTTCAGTTTACACGATGATTTTCATTTTTACTAAAATTCTTCAATTTAAGTGGTCATTATCTCTTTTTCATTTTGTTATGATGACGGTGTAGGTTAGGTTAGGTTGGATCAGTCAGTAATACGTGTATTTCTGATGAAGATATGATCGAATCCGATTAAATATATCTAAATACGGTTCAAAATGATGGTGATTAGCTGTGTTGTTCTTATTATTGTTAGTAGCAGTAGTAACGGCAACGTCGTTGTTGGTAACCATTGCCATCTTCATTACTGCAAAATTGTTTTTATCATCAATAATACCTGTTTTTTAACTATCATTTTCTTTTTCACTTTAGTAATAATGATGATGATAGCAATATAATTATCATTATCATTATTATATTATCATTATTGTTATGATTATCATCCACATCATCATCATCATCATCATCATCATCATCATCGTCGTCGTCATTATCATCATCATCAACATTATCATCATCATTATCATCTCGTTATTTTTACTATTATTATCGTTTTGTTGTTGATGTTATCATTATTATTATCATAATTATCATTATTATTATTATTATTATTATTATTATTACCATTATCATTATCATTATTGTTTTAATTGTTACTATTATCTGTATCATCATTATCATTACTATTATCATTGTTATTACTATTACTACTGCTATTATTTTCTCTTTTGCTCCTCCTTCTTCTCCTCCTCCCTATTCTTCTTCTTCTTGTTCTTCCTCTTCCTTCTTCTTCCTACTCCTCCTTCTTCTTCTTTTCCTCTTCCTCCTCTTCCTATTCTCCTCATACTCTTCCTCCTCCTCCTCCTCCTACTCCTCTTCTCCTCATCCTCTTCCTCCTCCTCCTCCTCCTCCTCCTCCTCCTCCTCCTCCTCCTCCTCCTCCTCCTCCTCCTCCTTTTTCTCCTCCTTCTCCTCCTCCTCCTGCTCCTCCCCGAACTCCTCCTCTTCCTCTTCCTCCTCCACCTCCTCCACATCATCATCCATCATCATCATCTTCACCACCATCACTATCACCATCATCATCCACATCATTACTATCATTAGTATTACTTATACTGTGTTGTGATTTTATTGTAGTTCCAATAATACTAGTATTAGCAGTATAATCGTTACTCAGAGCATCTTGACCGATTACTTGATTATTCCAGACGGTTGTTATAAATACGATGACATTCCCCATACAATTGGACATTCATTGACTTATGAAATATACATTAGCTACAAATAATGGAGGGGTACGTGACCATACAAAAAAGGAATGTATGTCACCGCACACTTAGTGATTCCCGAAAATATTGCTTTACGTTATTGTGATCACAATTATAACAATTATTGTTATTACTGTTGTAGATTATAATGTTGATACTATTGTTTTTATTATTATTACTGTTGTTTTGTTGTTATTATTATCATTGTTGTCCTTATTATCATTATTATATTTATTATTTTTATTATTATCATTGTTGTTATTAATAGTGGTAGTAGTTGTCGTATCATCATCATTATCAATATAATCGTTGTTATCATTCGCTGTTGCTACTCTTGATATATATATGTTTGTGTTTCGTTCGCCCGTCGTTCATTATCGAACTTACTAGAATCCTATTTTAACAATACTTTAATCATTATTATCATCATAACTGTTATTATTGTTATTATTACTGCTTCTGTTGATATTATTAGCATTTTTTCGATGCAAGTAACTGCACTGATGTAGTTAAACTAATGTAGTTTATGCAGATATATCATTCCCACGAGAATCCGAGGGGGAAGTCAAGAAGGAAGGAGGGAGGAGAAGAGGAAACAAGAGAGGAAGAGGGAGAGGAAAGGGATATGAGGAAGGGGAAGCGGAGAGGAGGAGAGGACCTAGGAAAATGGATGGAAAGGGGTTTACGGGAGAGGGAGAGGGAAGGGGAAGGAGAAAGGGGGAGAGGAGAGGGTGTTAAGGTAAAGGGAGAGGAAAGGGGAAGGAGAAAGGGGGTGGGTTGGGATGAAAGAGGAAAGGGGGGAGGAGAGAGGGGGTGGGTTAGGATGAAAGAGGATGAGTCTGGGAAGGTAAGGAGGACGAGGAGGAAAGTGATTTCGGGCTGAAAGTGAAAGATGAGGAGTTAGTTTAAGGAAGATTTAGAAGTGAAAGGGGTGGCTGAGCGGGAAAGGGAAAGGGGGCATGGAGGCGAAAGGTAGAAGGAGAAGAGTAGAAGAAGGAAAGAGGAAGGGAGAAGTATCTCCTATTTATTTATCTATTTATTTATTATTCCGTGAGGTCCAGCTGGTTAATATTAACATTATTATCATTATCATTACCTTTATCATTATTACCAAATCCTTATTAATAAGATCCTCATCATAATCAACATTAGTATTGATATTAGGATGATATTTTTTGATTACCTTCAACATCTGTTTTATCCGTGACTGTTGTTTTTATTATTGTAATCATTTTGATAAATATTATAAATCTTCTTATTAGTAACTACTGTAAGGATTATTATTGCTATCAATATGTAATTTTATGCCTCTTACTGATATCCTCCGCATTAATGTTGTTACATTATTATCATGACCACCATTATCATTGTTATCATTATTATTAGTGTCAGTGTTATTATTATCATTATTATTATCACCATTATTGTTGTTATTATTATCATTATCAGTATTTTATTATTATTATTATTATTATTATTATTATTATCATCATTATTATCATTATCACCATCATCATCATCATTATTATTATTATTATTATTATTATTATTATTATTATTATTATTATTATTATTATTATTTATTTATCCTTATTTTCGTTGCTGTTGTTCTTATTATTATCATTAACGTTGATAATGTTTTTTCTTTTCCTTTTTTTCTGTTATTACGACCTCCTCATTATTACGATCATCACTGGGGTGTCATTATCAATATTATTATTGTCATTATTA